GGCTAGCAGTGGGCAAAACAAATGAATCTGTAAAGTATTATCAGCTAACCAAAGAGCACCAAACAAATCGAACAAATTGCCTCCTTATCTAACATAAGCATGAGAAAACCTTGTCATAGCAAATAGCAGCTCACCCCCTCAAACACCTTCAGACTGGCAAGAGCTGCAGGTGGACACAGGTGTGGCTGGTTGGAACGTGGGAAAGGCGAATGAACCACCTGTCCAGGGCGATGGCTGCGTTGGCTTTTTGCTGCGTGTAGGAGGTTGAATGTTACAACACCAATCACGACCAGGACAGTGTAACTTACCTTTGCTCTTCTTTTTAGCATCTGCCCTGGGGTTACAGATAGGGCTGATAGTAGCTGTGATCCTGGTGCTGGGACTAGGAGCTGCTCTGGTCACGTATTTCTACAGGAGGAGGTAAGATCTCCGGCATCATCTCCCCCTTTCATACTACATATGAATGTAGACATTTTTAAATATCTTATCACAATATGGCAAAAGCCTTTTATGGATGTATTTGCTATATAAATCTTTTCAGAAATTTGTGTAATCGTTTGATTTGTAGTGATTCCTGTGATTTAAAATATGTGTGTCAGAGTTCACTACACCACAATGGGCACTGCTCATTTAGCCAAGACCACGTGTCCAAGTTATAATCCAGCCTTGAGCTCTGACTTTTGGGTGTACGCTTCCAGCTGTGAAAGATTGAGTAAATAACAGTTGTAGTCAGAAGTTTACATGTACTGACTGGTTTTGGAACAGATAAAGCAGGCTAACATTAAGCTGCTGGAACGGCCTTCCCAAAGTCCTGACCTCAAACCTGTTGAAAGTCTGTGGACTACTCTTACAAGCCGGGTCTGTGCCAGGAAACCAACCAACCAATTTAAATGAACTTTGACCACACTTCTTGGCAGAATTGGTAAATATCCAGTCAAATTATAAGAGAGGCATCTGGCCGAAGTGCTAAGAGACATTTAACAAAATATTAGTTGGTGTCTGTGTTTATCTTTGAGCCTCTATGTATTAGAGGCGGATTAGAGAAAATCCAAAATAAATTCAAACTTGTGCTTCCACTTCTTGTTTATTAAAGTAATTAAACACAACCACTGTCCATGGAGAAAGAGCAATTTTAAGAAATCATTAAAGCCCCAAATTACCATGAAGTTCCTGCTCATCTGAGTGTCTGTAAACGTCTTCTGTAACTATTTATAAAAACTGACCTTCTCCCTGTCAGCACTACTTGTGAAGTTCCATGACTGCTGTAGGACTCCTGCTGATTAGATTACATTGAACTCTTTTTAGCCACTTGCATGCATGTGTTTCAATTTAGCTGCAGACCTCAAACTTGCACAGAGTTTGCACAACGTTGCCTGATGAGCTGACCTGAGTTTCATTTTGAGGATTACGGTTAGTAACGAGAGCTACAAGCCAGACACCAGATAGCAGTGTCTAAGCCAGGAGCATGCTTTGTTTTTTGTTTTTTGGTGTGTGTGTGTGTGTGTGTGTGTCTCTGTAATAATACTGATCAGGATACAGTTCCTTTGAGTTATGGTACCTGACATATCCTCATCTTTTTTGTGAAACCTTCATTCAGTCACTTCCCACCCTGCTTACCAGAACTGGGTTCCCGCATGTAGTGCGCATGGAGGAAGATGAACTGATTATCCAGGATGAATAACTACCACAGGGAGGAAGTAAAACTCACAGGACTATATAAAGACCAGTGATTTAAAAAAAAAAAAAAGTCAGGAAATGACTTCACAGAAATCCATTACTCTGCGACTTTCTCCTCTAAATGAAATTCACGAGCTAAGGGGTCACCGTTGGGACTAGCAGGAGTGCTGGAGTCCTAGAACTTTCTGATCACACATTTTTATGCATTATTAGAGGTATATTAAGTGTATCAAAGAGTGAAACAACACAAGAGCACATTTAAGGTTCAAACATCCACATTTTCAGGTTTATGGATTGCAGAATTTAGGTGAAAACCCTTCAGTATGTCTTATATTTCTTCAGCTACATCTAAAAGACACTTTTTGTCAGCTGTTTAAAAAAATAAAAGTTTTACATTTTGTAACGCTGCTGTGTGCTTTCCCAGGCGTCCTCTGGACTATTACACCATGGAGCTGAGTGAGCACGGGGAGGGACTGTCTGATCTATAATCCAGGCTTTGGGCCAGCGGCTTTTTGCATGTGGTAGTGGCCACGTGCAGGGGAGGACTTCAGCAGAGAGAGAGAGCTACTGTGGGTAATCAAAGGGTTAATTTGACCTGTGGGTAACTAAATGTGCGGCTGTTGTGAAACAAACGCCACAAAGTGTCCTTCTGTCAAAATGACTTGTAATTGTTAACTATGTGGTTGCATCCAGTGTGTGCGTGACGTGACATTTTATAGCTTCAGTGACATGAAATTAGGCAACCAGTGTGCTGCGTTTTAAAAGTCATAACATTCTTCTTCTTCTTCTTCTTCTTTTTCCTAAGAATCGATGTGCAACCTTTGCCTGTGAACAGTGCTGGTTTCTACTTTTAAAAGAAAGGAAGATATAAGAAAGGGATTTATTTTTAAGTACTTGAGTCCTAAATTGTTTTTCTTTTGCTATGAATGAAGCTTTTAAATTAAGACATTTAAAACAACAATGCTTCTGATTTCTGCAGGAATGCCTGCTGGCACTAAAGTGTTTTTAACACCAGGCTGTATAACAAGATTACATTCTGTTCATGTCTTATGTTTTTGACTTCCTGCCTTGTTTTTCTGCTCTATATTTTGATAGATGACTTTGAACTGTAGTCAAAGGGCCTGATTGCCCTTTAAATGTGAATGTCTCTAACCTGTAACGAGTGTCTGTAACCACTTTTGTACTCTTGGTCAAAGAAAACTGTTTACAGTGTCTCGTTTTTGAAAATTAGAAGAAGGGATTGTGCGAGACGTATGAAGTAATTCCTTAAATGGGGAGAATTTGTTTATAAGAGATGAAATATTGCTTATTCTGTGTTTCGCTTGTGTTCTTAGTGGCTCGGAAACCGCTCTTGTGCCTTTGCCCGGTGTTTCGTTTGATCAGTTGTTTCTCCACTTAATAGAGGGGACAGCACAAGTTAGCCATAAGTGTCAGTACTACAAATATGACGTTGATATTCTCAGGGGGGGGAAGACATTCTTAGCAGTCTGAAATGATAAGTTATTGCAGGGATGCAGAGAGAATTTTATCAGTTGAGTTAGTTTGAGTTCACTTTTAATAGATTATAAATATCAGACCTAAAATAGTCAAAATTGCCAAGATAATGTGCCATGAATGAGCATGTGTATGCTGTTTTTGATAGCGTTGAAGTGCTGTTTGCCTCTTTGTGTTGCTTTTCTCATCAATGAAATGACCCCACCCCCACCTCCCTGTACCTTTCTCGTCAACTCTAATCTCACAGTAACATTTCTTAATACAACCATGTAAAGCTACATCAGTCCTGTCAAATAGGATTTCAGTCAGGGCCACTATAGTTAAAAGAAAACCTTATTTTTTATGTAGCTCTAGATAAGCTTGTAAATAAGTGGAAAGCCAGAACTGGGGAGAGCAGCAGCAAGATCTGCGTCAGAAACAGCATGAAGAAGGAGGAGCTGTGGGTGGAGGTTTGCACATGCAACGGCAAGTGTATGAAGGCTAAAGCAGCTTGAGTAGCGTGGCCTAAGTGAGGCTGGATGCACAGAACGGTATCAGCTGTGCCATCAGCTGATGTGACGTGGGCTCGCACTGAGATCAGATGTGAGGCCGAGCTAGACTTCGTGGGCTACTGTGCTTGATTTATTTTAGAGATGCGCTGCTGCTTTCATGCGACTTCTTTTCTTTTACATCAATTTAGCCAAGTCAAGGCAATTTAAGATTTTTTGTTTGTTTTTGTTTTTTTTAAGCGTTCGCAGTGATTTAGTGGTGTGGCTTTCCACCTTGTAATGCCCGTTAAATGTCTTTTCTGGTATATTTTAGGTTTTTGTGAAACGCAGTGCATGTTGATAGGTTAGAAAATGAAAAGACAGGATGAAGAAGCTGTTCTTCAAGATTACAGATTATACACGGACATGCAAATGAGCTCGCCGCCGAGTGCAACTTTGATGTCTCTAACCTAAAATAAACTATTGTGAGAAAATGGCTCATGCAACACTACTGCGTGTCGGCTTCTTGCTTTACAAATCTGAGCTGACTCATTCACAGAGTCGGATTTTTGCAGTATTCAAAGTCTAACAAAACTAGGAGTGAAAACAGAAGCGTGCGAATGTGACTGAGCACTAAAACGGTGTGTACATGCAGCAAGTACTCTCAGAACTTTACACAACAAACAACATGTCACAAAAAAACACTGGAAAAGTTAAAAAATAAAAATAAAAAACTTTGTATCATCTGCATGCACAAGTCATGAATTACAATATGTTTCTCTTTTTTTTCCCATTTTTTTTAATGCTTTATTTTTCATGTTTTTCCTCAAATGTTTTGCACATTTATTTGAAAAAGGAAGTCAATAAATTTGAAATATGTGCAGTTGTGTTTCGGCAGTCTTTTTTTTAGTACAATGTGACAGCCTGAAATAACATCAATTAGTATAATCTTGATTGCAGATGTTCCTACACTTATGTATGAACACAGCAGGTGCTGTTAATTACTCATATTTACAGCATGTTTACTGTTTTGTACATGTTTACTGTCACCTTGCTCTGTTACTGCCTGACATGTTAGCGACCTGAAGCTCTTTGTACTTCCTCCTATTGACCCTTGATATGTCGTGTCAGCCCTCTGCCTGTGGTTTGACAGCATCTGCACAGTCGATGAAGAGACGAGGCCTACAGTGCGGTTTTCAGGTTTTGGAGAGCGTGACTTCGTCTGCACACACAGGAAGCAGTTACTTTTTCTCTCTCTCTTATTGTCACTGTTCAACCTGCCAACCACAGTGCAAAAATGCAGATGAGGCACGACACCGGAAAGGAGGTGCAGCACGAAGCGAATCTCCAGCAGCAGACTTTAGACCTACTTCAGCCACTGTGTGTTTGAGGCTCACTTCACTCGCCTGCCAACTCAAAGTTGTATTATAATCTTTAAAGATCCGTCAAATTTGCACTTCTACTCTTCAGATATGTGTTTTCTGTGATAATCATGTGGCTACTTTATGAGACCGCAGTAAAAGAAGCATCTTTCATCCTTTGAAACGTTCAGACAACCTCCTCTAACCCATGGTGAGTCACTCGAGTTTTCCTACTTTTTTTGCCACAGAGCGTCTGACTTCATGCCTTCAGCAGCTTAAAGAGTCGTAAACGTTACTTTTCCATCATGGCTTTGAGTCAGCATCAGCTCCTGCTAGTGAAAATAAAGTATGCATAATCTTAACAGGCTTTCACTTACTTTTACTATAAAATATGATACATTTCCAGCAAACTCATATTCCTGGGTTTTAATTCTTGCTGTGTAATGCTGGTATTCTTGAATCAGCACATTGTGCTACTGTAATGTGTGTTTTTGCTGCTGCTACCAAATACTGTAGTTTGGAAGATTTCATGCTGTGAGTCTCCTAATGATCTTTACTGACTTATCTGTGCTGGATGGCCTTTTAACAGTGACGTGTACTTTATTTTGTATACAACATAGTTCCGAAATATCACATGTAGGACCTTCTTATGCTAAGGATATAAATTTTACTCTGGCTACTAAAACTGTGTCTTCCTTTTAGAGACATGATGCAATGAGCAACAAACCACACAGGAAAACATTTGCAGTTTCCCGTTTTCTCGGCACAACCTCAAACAAAACTTGAATTTTTGTTTGCACTACTTTCACTCCGCTTTAGTAAAATCGCAGCGAAAACAAGAAGAAGCTCCTTTCACACTTTTCATGTTCATGCAACAAACTGTCAGCTTAATAATGTTTAATAAACTGTGCACAGTGCAGGGAGAAGATATTTACTTTTATCACACAAGGCAAGGTAGATATGGGTACTTCTTTCCCTTAACAAATGAAATGGCTGTTTAAAAGCATTTTGTATTTACTTGGGTTATCGTTGTCTATTATTTAGATTTCTTTCCTGATCTGAGGCCATTTAAGTGTAACATGCAAAAAACTAAGAATACAGGAAGGGGGCAGATACTTTTTCATGTGTATAGTTTACATATTTGCCTGTTTAATAGTATGTTTGTCTTCTGCAAAGTCCAGGATGTGCACCAAGCACAACATGACCGTAAATCTGGTTATTTGAAAGGCTGTACACACTCATGGTTAAACCAGTGGGTGTTTCCAGAAGACTAAACTTGAAAGACCTGGGCACATTGTGCTCATTTCATTTGTCATTAATTTATA